AAATTATCATCAAAGCTCAAAAAGCTGTCCATATTCATTTAACCACAAGCCAATCTTATTTAAATCAGGACTGCCCAAAAGAAATGCTCTATTAGCCACTCATGATCTGAATTCTGGTGTATGAGATCGATTTAAATATGGTACACATAAAAAAAGTCATGAGACATTTGTAATAAATAAGGCAGTGGCCAACTATTACTCATGAGTAGTTTTTTGAGATAAGCTATCAAGTCTGCCCTCTCTGCACTCTTCTTAATGCCAGCGAAGAGCATTTTTGTTCCAGGGATGTACTTCTTGGGATTCTCCAAATACTCCATCAGTGTAGCCTCTCCCCAGGTGATACCTTTGTTCTTGTTGGCATCCATGTAAGAAAATCCAGGGGCCTGACCTGTCTTTCGCCCAAAGAGACCATGGAGATTTGGCCCAGTCCTGTGCTTGCCTCCCTTTTCCACAGTATGGCACTGGGCACACTTCTGAACAAAAATCTTCTTGCCCGTCTCAACATCACCCATTTTTAAATCGCTCGTTAGTCGCGCGCGACACAGAGGTGCCCACTCGCGAGCCGGACGTCCCGCTCTCTAAGTCTCTCTGTTAATTTTAAAATGCTTTTAACCAAGATTTGCTTATAATGAAATTACAGGGTTTGTTTTTAATTAATTCAGTTATTTTTAACAAATTTTCGTGAATAGGCCATATGTTAGAAAAAAAAAAACACTGTAATCATTACACCAACAGAAAGAAATGTGACATAGCCACAGCCATCGGCTACCTATTTACACCCAAGAGTCACGGCTCATGAACAACGTTTGGCGAATGCTCAGCACAGGATCCCACCGCATCCGCCAGGGAACTGGTTCTGCTGTCGGTGGCATGACTTTCTGCAGCAGTTTTAACGCTGCCGGCAGATGTGCCCACGTGCACTAAGCCACACTCCAGCCCGTGCATTTGTTTACTTGGGTGAGTGGTGAGTGCACGCATTTACCAGACCTATTCAGTATAAATTTAAAATTACAGTAATACATATAGAAAACTCTTCTGTGAAATTCAACTTTTCATACAGACTTAATTTTAATTACACAAATGTGTCTACATAAGGAAAAATAGGTAAATTAACTAATTTGTCAATTTTTTAATATACGCATTTGGAAAACCTACTTCATTATACAACAGACTTTCAGCTTTAACGGACACCCCCACACCCAAATTAGTCCATTATATCGAGGTTTCACTCTAAAGAGATGGTCTCTGGCCCCCAAGAACCTAGCAGCTAGTTGGGGAAGTGAGGCTAGTGGGAGAGTTCACACTTATCACCACGCGCTGCATCCCGGTCATTGCTCTGGGTTTATCAGAACAAGTCTGTGTCGTTTGCAGATGAGGAAAGTGAGGTCCCGGAGGTGTGAGCAGCCTATCTGGGGCCCCAGAGCTAGGAAGTGCTAGACCTAGAATTTGAATTCATCTGTCTGGCTCCAACTACCTTCCCTACAAATGGTCTCCACAGCAGAGATCATGTCACAACTCAGGTTCTAAGATGCATGACATAAACCCAGGTGCTGCAGAGCTCCAGGTAAAGGGGAAAATGAGAGGCAGAATGGTCAGGCAATGGGACACGGAGGCAGTAAGATTGGCCTGGAAGTCAAGGCGGGGCGGGCCAGGTAGAGAGCTGAAGGTACAGCAGGGGGAGAGGAGGGGAAATGGCACTGTGGGGTAGGAATGGGCAGGTGTTGGTTAGAAGATGGTGAAGGGATGAGTTGGCACCTCAGAGTGCTTTTGCCTCAGGAGGTCTCCCAGGCATTCCAGCCTGCTGCTGCTAAAACACAAACCATAAACTCTCATCCAGCTCTGCCATCAACTTTTTTTAATATATATATTTTTTATTGATTTCAGAGAGAAAGGGAGAGGGAGAGAGAGATAAAAACATCAGTGATGAGAGAGAATCATTGATTGGCTGTCTCCTGCATGGCCCCTACTGGGGATTGAGCCTGCAACCCAGGCATGTGCCCTTGACCGGGAATCGAACCATGACATCCTGGTTCATAGGTCAATGCTCAACCACTGAGCCACAACAACCAAGCTGCCATCAACTTCTTCTGTGACTGTAGGTACACTTGTCTGAGTTTCAGTTTTCTCAACACCAAATTAGGGGATCGGATGAGATAAGCATGATAGTTCTTTTAAAGTTAAAAAATGTTTGTGGTTCTGTACCTTAAATACTTCAGCAGATTCATATCACTTTGTATCTAAAGACTAAGAGAAAAATGAAGACTTATGAAATCTCTCTCAGGACTATGGCCAGGTTGCCTCTCACATCTGGCTAGACTGGCAGAAGCTGGTCATTTATGTCATAGGACAAGGGTAGCAGATAACTTTTATCCTCCTAAGACCCTGAAAAACAAAGAGAGGAGTGGACTGGTGGTTGCCAGAGGAGAGGCGTTTGGGGGACTGGGTGAAAGAGGTGAAGGGATTAAGAGGTACAGATTGGCAGTTACAAACTAGTCATAGGGATGTAAAGTACAGGATAGGGAATATAGTCACTAATCCTATGTCATAAAAGGCTAACATGCAAATTGTCCCCTCAACCGGGAGTTCGACTGGGAGTTCGAGGCGGGGGGCGGGGGGCTGGCTGGCCAACCACCCAAGGACCCTCCCCCAAGCCAGCCTGGCCCTATCTGAGGTAACACTTTATAAAGTATGTGACCATCTAACCATGATGCTGTACACCTGAAACCAATAGAAAATAGTATTGAAAGTAAACTAATTTAAATTTTTTTAAATTTAGAAATCCAAAAAAAAAGAAGAAGAAGAAGAAGAAGAAAGAGCAGGCTGGAGTCTTATGTCCCCAGGGCCTCAGTAGTATGCCCCAGTCATTGTTAGTTTACAGGAGTAGGTGGGGGGCAGAGCTGTCAGCAGCAGCCCCAGGAGAAGGGCTCAGTTGACAGGTGTTACTGATACAGTTTTGTCATCCGTTGTTTTCTGGTTTTAGGGGCACCACTTTGTTTGTTTTATTTATTTTTATCTCAAATGAAATTTGAGAGAAAAAATGATTTAAATGAAATTAACTATAGTTTTAGAAGATCCCCAAATATATGAGGGAAAGCAAAAGAGGGAGTAGTCTCAAAATAGGAAGGGCTACTATAACAATTCGCCGGTCAGTTCCGTGGGCTCAGCAGGCATGATGGTGTATAGGCTGCTGCCTCTGCTTCTTATCATAGGATTGAGGAGGTTGCTCCACAGGTCCCTGGTGTTGGCAACATAAGCCCTGAATAATCAATCTCCTACTCATTCATACACACACACACACACACACACACACACACACACACACACCTGCATGCATAGAGGGTTCTCAGCAACCGTAAGCCATTCAGAATAGTCCTTCAGAGTGGAGCCGCTCACAGAGCAACTCCAGCCTCAGGAGTGAGTCCACACTCAAATTTCATGCTTTACATAAAGTCAGGCATCTTACTGCAGCTCTCTGTTTGTCCCCTAGCTTTTTCATCAAGTCATATGACTGTGCTAAAGTTGGTATCTAGAAGGGTTAAAACATATTTCATTTGGGGAAGGGAATCTATAATCAAGATGTTTTCAAAGCCAGTTCAATGAGATGCCTTGGGATGACTTGATGTCTGAAAGGCCTAAGAAGAAAAAAGAGAATCTTTTCAAAACCAGGAGGCAACTTTGGGTTAGCTGTCAGGTGGAAGGGCCACTGGATCTCAATGGAATGCCTTTTCTCAGCTCACTGAGACTTCAGTCTGTATCTTTCATCAACTCTTAGACATCTGAGTTGTTCATTTGTTACCTAACTATTCCTTCCTTTCGACTTCTTCCCAACAAATTCATCACAGGTTCAACAACAGGCTTATTCCACAGTCATCCTGAGAAGTTGCCCTTGCACGTTAATGTTAACACCTGGTAGTATACTACTTAGAACCTTAACACTATTACTTCATGTAGCACCCCAGTGCTTCAAGTTGGCTCCCACTGTTCATTACCTTGGTGTCACTTACCCACGTCCATAATTCTCTTTGACTCTCCAAGAGACCTATCTTCAGTATGCTGCCATGTTTCTACTCCTGGACCAAGCTCTAGTTCTTGAGGATCTCTACACTTGCTTTCTTATCCACAAGATGGGAGTAATGAGAGTACCTACCTCGTAGGATAGTTGTGAGGATTAAATACATTAATACAAATGATGCACTGAAAGAAATGCCTGGCCTGTTGTAAATGCTCAGAATCTTCTGTTATCTTATTGAGCTCAATGTCTTGTTTACTTAGGCAACGGGCCTCAATCACTATTTTCCAAAATGCTGCTTCCGGTTCAGAAGGATTTGATAACATGGGTAAAGGAGAAAAGGCAATAAAAATTGGCTCTGTGATTTTGAACCTGGGTGATTGGTACTCTAGAGCAAATATTAAACATCGGAATAATGGAGAGGAAAAATACTTGCTTTCCTTTTAGTTCAGGTCTAGTGGGTTCAATACAGTTATTTGCATGGACGGACAATAAAAGCACTAGTATGTTTCTTTTTAAATAACAAATGTAGGTCTTTCTTCCTCTCAGCGTTCTCACGAGAATGGTGTGGGAGTATGGGGACAGCACGTGGAGCCATCATGTTCTCTTTACCAAAATGGATACAGCCACATTCGAGATTTTAAAATAGAGAAACTGGGCAGAAAGGTTGACTGAAGAGAAATGAAGATAAGTTTGATTTTAGACATGGGATGTGGCATTTGAAGTAAAAATAATGCATTTGAATAGAAAAAAAATCTTTACAGAAATCAGGACTATGAAAGCCAAATATGGTAAGAAAAATGAGGAGGAGAAAACCGATGTGGAAATCTTCCGTGGTCTAAAGCTGATCTCTAACACGCAGAAAACAGATGTCTTCCTTGAGAGAAAAGGTAGAAAGAGAACAGGAGGCTCGTGTTCATCCTCCCCTATCTGTGTAGGACGTTCTCACACTCACAGTGCATTTGAGATTGCCTTTTGCCTTTTCTTTCAGTTCCAGGACAATGGGGACTGTATGCTGGGCTGGCTTTAGGGGGCGTCATTGGTGTCATCCTGATTCTCCAAGTGGCAATACTTCTATTCAGAAGAAAAGGTAGGTGTCTAACAATAAAGAGATGCTTATCAGAGTCTCTGTGGTAAGCAGGGGACCTCTCACCACAAGCACGAACTTGCTGTCTTCGATTTAGCTTTCCTCAGGGAGTACCTTTGCAAAAACACTGAGCAAACATATCCTGGGACCTTGTTCAGTTCAGTCCAATTCAAAATGTCTCAATCCCCTACACCAGTGGTGGGCAAACTCATTAGTCAAAAGAGCCAAATATCAACAGTACAACGATTGAAATTTTTTCTGAGAGCCAAATTTTTTAAACTTAAACTATATAGGTAGGTACATTGTTATTAACTTAATTAGGGTACTCCTAAGCTGGCCTTTGCTAAAAACGTCCTCAATCTGATTGAGGTACGTTCGCTGAGGTCGACCCCTTCCAACTCTCCCATCCACACTCGTATACTTGTTTCGTCTATCTCCTTTCCTTCATCCTCTCTATATGTCCAAACCATCTCAACATACCTTTCTCCATCCTCGACACTACATCTTCTTTCACTCCACAACGTTCCCTAAAATTAACTTAATAAACTTTACTTTTGTCACCCGCGCGCGATTTGCGGACGCGACTAGCACTAACCACTGCACATAAGACTGCTGACTGACTGGCTCACTCAACTCGTGCATGAATCGCGCGCCTCCCCCCCACCCCTCTGCGTATCCCGCGGCCCACCTGCTCCGCGTCTCCCGGCACCCCACCGACCAACACCCCCCACTTCTTCTAACGCCACTTCTTCAAAATAGACTCGCCCAGGCCGAAAACCGACTTCTGCGCATGGGCCACGAAGTTTCAATCGCACTGTACGTGAGCGCCCGCACATGGTATTTTGTGGAAGAGCCACACTCTAGGGGCCAAAGAGCCGCATGTGGCTCGCAAGCCGCGGTTTGCCAACCACTGCCCTATACTAGCCTATGGGGATAAAAAGAGACATGAGCTTTAGGTATCTAACATGGGAGACATTATACACAGTTAGTTTTAATTCAATGTGACAAATACTGCTGAAGGGGTACTGACCAGAGTTTTAATTGGAGCAGAACTCAGAGGACTCTTGGATCTCATTCAAGAAAAGTTGTAATTATTGACCAATAACAGGACATTATAATACATTTTTGCGCAAGGGTCGAAATCTTGCTATAATTTCTCGCTACTCTTATGATATCCCTCTGAGAGAAGTAGGGTGACTGTTTCTATGTGACTTAGCAATGGGCTAACAGAGGCACAGAGAGGCCAAGTGACTTGTCCAAGGCCACCCAGCTGGTTGGCAAGGAAATGAGAACTGTAACTAACTATGTCTCCCAGCCACCAGGGTGCATTCCCCTGGGAAGGCCCACAGGTCATCAGAAAACAGCAGAGGGATCACTCTTTACTAAGACTTTTGCACAAATCCCGACTCACCTTGCGAAAGTGTGCAATTTGTGAGGTTGCTTAAAGCCAAACTAAGTAATACAGTAAGTCATCCAGAATAGACTAAAACCATCAAGGCCCAATGGTTTCCTTGCAGTTTAAGTGCCTAGAAGTAGTTTCTCCTGCCTTTTCCTCCAAACGGTCCTATGATTCAGTGTCTCAAGGCAGTGTGCTCCCCTCCACCACACTTTACTCACCCACCCACCCACACGAGGGCCCCCAGACCCGCGTGGGGAGGAGAGAACATATCTTCATGTCATCAAGCTGACGGCTAAGCTCATTCGCAAGTAGATCTATCTTGCCCACATGTAACCTTTTCGGAAAAGCCCTTACCTCAGCACTCTGATGTTGGTTTTGCTTATATAAGAAAATCTAGATCACAGCACAGCCACCTACTTTGTCTCATTTCCTCCATCTAAGAGTTCACTGGGGAGGAGGTGGAGGGAGGGGTGATTCAGACAGAACTCAAGAGGACAGCTGATGAGCATGGGGCAGGGCAACCACACTTGGCTTGGATAATAAGGAAAGAGTGAGATACCATGGTTGAGAAAACAAATTAACACACCCACGTTAACCTCATTAGTGGGAGGTGCTGGGAGTCTCGCCCACATTTTTTCATCAACTACATCCTACTCCTCATATAGTTGTGCTCTGAAGGGACTAGTACTCTTCATCCCACGACAATTTCCTACCACCGTCCCCAACACACACATCCGTCCTCATAGCCAGTCACCATGTATTCCTTGTCAGCCAGGAGCACAAAAACCCTGTCTCAAACCTGTGGGAAAACCCGTTCTTAATATCTATCCCTTCAAAGACTCTGCTCAAGAGGTCCTGTTGGCAGTTTCTAATGCTGCCATCTGCCGAATGCAGCTGGACTCCGAAGGTTTCCCAATGGACTCTGGCAACTTCATGTCCAGAAAACACTGATTGAGAACATGGGCTTTGACATTAGACAGACTTACATTTGAATGCAGATGTTGCCACTGACCAAACAAATGACTTAACCTCCCCTCTGGAAAATGAGAATAATATTATGTACTTCATGTTCTTGTCATGGGGATGCATGAATTCATACACAGAAATCAGAGGATACAGCGGCTTCTGTGGATAGATGTCAGAGAGGTAGATGATAGATAGATAGATAGATAGATAGATAGATAGATAGATAGATAGATAGAAGATAGATAGATGATAGATAGATAGATAGATAGATAGATAGATAGATAGATAGATAGATGATAGACAGACAGACATAGCTCTAATGTAGTGAGTGAAAACATCAATAGTGAAGTCGTATGGCCAGCAGAGGGCAGCACAGGAAGCACCTGGGAAAGGTACCTTGTTTTAAAGATTTAAAGTACTTGAAGTCATGGTAGCTTTATGCTTCAGGTGAGAGCTGAAAAGGACATTAGACAGTCTACATCTTCATTTTAAAGGCATGGTAACAGAAGAGACCCAGTTAGCTGACATGTTTTGGTCAATGCCACACAGCTGACGAGGGCTAGAATGTAGATGCCCTAATGCTAAGGCCTTTTTCATGAGACCCGAAGGCTTCACTGACTTGGAGCAGAGTCGAGCTGGCTCCTGGACACTTGCTCTTACCCTGGAACAAAATAGGAGACTACATGATCTTGGTCCCATGGTCTTTTTGAGAAGCAACGTTCAACCTTACTTTTTCCATCTGACCATGTAGGACTGTCCCCCACAACTCTACATTTCAGCCTGAGCTGACCTGTAAGACTGAAAGGCCTTGAAAACTGGGGTCCGTTCTTTATTTGTTCTCCTACAGCACCTAGGGCAGTGCTAGGTGGGCACTTCTAACTTGCAAACATTCATAGATTTGAACTGAAAGGATATATTACAGTTAACCACAGTTCAAATGCTCAATAGCCACCTGTGGCTACCTATTAGACTGCAGACATGAAACATTTTCATCATCACAGGAAATTCTATTGCACAGAAATGGTCTGGAAGGATAGAAATCAAGCTGTGAAAAGCGATTATTTCTGAGAATGAAATTGCACAGCTGAATGGGGTAGAGGGATATCATTTTTATTCTATACAATTTTTTAAATATTGTTATTGATTTCAGGAAGGAAAGGAGAAGAAGAGAGAGAGATAGGAACATCAATGATGAGAGAGAATCATTGACCAGCTGCCTCCCGCATGCCCCCTACTGGGGATCGATCCTACAACCTGGGCATGTGCCCTGACTGGGATCCAACTGGGACCTCCTTCCTGGTTTATAGGTCGACATTCAACCACTGAGCCACGCCGGCAGGCTTACTCTATACAATTTTTATTTTTGTAACGAGAATGGATTATTTCTATAATTTTAAAAAGTTGTAAAACTGGTTAAAAACTAAAATGTTTTGCAACATTACTTTCCAGAAAGCCTGGACTCTGAACAAAATTTCCTGTTGGTAGGCAATAGAATGACATTATAACTTTATTTTCTAAGGAATCTCAGGAGCACTATCCCTCTTATAGTCCCTCCCCTTCACATACACATCAAGTCCCACTGAAACAGGGATGCAAGGACACTGTGAGTAAAGCAGTTTATGAGCTGAAGAATACAAGAATAAAAGGCATAAATAACTCACTCTGCCCTTTAAAAACTTAGGATCCTGTTAAAAAACCAGATACATCAAAAAATAAAGATTAAAATAATTTATGACACTTAACGTGAATTGGGAATTTACTATTTTCCAGGCACTATTCTAAACACTTCACAAGTCATGTCTCATGTTGTCATCACAACAGCCCTGTGAGGCAGGTGTTTCAACCCATTTCACAGACAAGAAATAGGCCCAGGGAGTTCAAGGAACTAACCTAATGCCATATGACAGCTGTCGGGGGGGTGGGGAGTGGGGAGGAGAACTCAGTGCTTTGTTCCCATGGTGCTCTTAGGGAACATTGGTACACAATGCGGGGGGCGGGTGGCGGGGGTTCATGCTGGCGACCAGAGGGAGATAACTCTACGGTTTCTTTTCTCCAGGTAAGACAGACCATTACGAGCCAACAGTGGAAGAAAAAAGCCTTACTATCTATGCCCAAGTCCAGAAATCAGGTGTAAGTTCTATACTTTCTTTTTCTGGGGTGTTTCTTACTGCTTCCTGCCAGTTCACCATGCATTTCTGACATTCACGGTCCTCCGTGGGTTCTGAAGCAGGGGAAGTTAAGGGAGCAGAAGTCAAGAGCTGAAAGGATACTAGCTTCAGTGTCAGATGGGACTATTTGTTAGCGAAATAACAGAAAATACCGGGTAATCTTCTGGTCATCTGTTTCTTCACAGGAAAAAAAAAAGGGAAGTTAGAAAGACATGACATGTGACTCCTTCCAGCTCGCACGCATTCTAGGAGTGTACCGTCCCAGGTTATGAAACTCTCTCCTTTTCTAGGATAAAAGGTGCAGGCGTGAGGAGAGTGGAACAGGTTTAGGAAAGCAATTGTGTGACAGGTTGGACTGGTCCACCTTTAGAAGTTTGCAAAGTGCCAAAGTGCCAAGGAAGGGAGGATTCTGGCTCAACAGGGGTGAAGAGATGGATGATGCTACGTAGGCTGAAAATGAAAGAAAGCAAAACTGTGATGGTTGGACTGAGACAGCAGAGAGGGATAAAGAAATTAGAGTTATGATGACGTTGAGCAGATGTTAAGAGGGGGATTACAGGGATTGTGATTAGCTATTATGATATTACTAGAGGCCCGGTGCACAAAAATTTGTGCACTCGGGGGGAGGGGGAGTCCCTCAGCCCGGCCTGTGCCCTCTCGCAGTCTGGGACCCCTCAGGGGTGACCACTTGCTGGCTTAGGCCTGCTCTCTGGGGGATTGGGCCTAAGATGGCAATCAGACATCCCTCTGGCAGCCTGGCAGCCCTCGGGGGATGTCCACTTGCCAGCGGGGAGCAGGCCTAAACTGCAGTCGGACATCCTTAGCGCTGCTGAGGAGGCAGGAGAGGCTCCCACCACCACTGCTGTACTGACAGCCGTCAGCGTGGCTTGTGGCTAAGCAGAGCTCCCCCAGTGAGAGCGCACTGACCACCAGAGGGCAGCTCCTGCATTGAGCGTCTGCCCCCTGGTGGTCAGTGTGTGTCATAGTGACCAGTCATTCCCAGTCCTTCTGCTGTTAGAGTTTGTTTAGCTTCTATAATCGCAACATTGTTGCATCCGAAGCTCAGAGCTGGGCTGTGGCAGGCGGGGAACCTTGGCTTCCTCCGTCACTGGAGCAAGCAAGCCTCATGTTCGCTTCAGCTACGTGGCTGCCGGCCGCCATCTTGGCTGGCAGTTAATTTGCATATCTCGCTGATTAGCCAATGGGAAGGGTAGCGAATCAACGGTTAATTACCATGTTTGTCTATTATTAGATAGAATAGTTTTTCCTACATGAAAACAATTCTAGGTGATAGGCCAGTATCTGGTCATTCAGAGTTGACTGGAAAGCAAATTCTGGAGTAAGGGATATAAAGGCAAAGGGATCTTTGATTAGTACGTTGGGAAATTGCATCAGATGAAAATAAATGCAGTTCTGATAACCAGAGATGAACTTTTGGACAAAGCTCTTGTTTCTGCTGTCCTCTAGTGGCCCGGAGGGTTTATTACACAGGCCACGACAACCACTGAGAACCATCCTCCATTTAAATATATTAGAGTCTCAAGAGCAACCTCCATTCTTGCATTTATACATTTAGGTAACCAGGTTCAGCTTTATCATGGTGCCTTCCCTATCTATTCCATGCAGTAAGCACCCCTCTTTCTACTGTATAAAGTATGGCATAGATACCAAAAGTGCACAATGTATGTGTCAGCTCAATGAGTTACCCCATCTTAATATCTAGTAAAGCAAATCCTCCTACCTTGTTTTTCTTTAAGAGTTTTTGACCATTTATATGTATTTTAGAATCAACTTCTCAAGTATCACAAAAAGGGAAAAAAATCCTACCAGGATTGCACTGAATCTACAGGTCTATTTGAGGAGAAATTATATCTTGCAGTATCGAGTCTCCCTAATACCATAAAACTATTACTCATATAAAGGAACAGAACATTGGCAGCAACCCCCGGCCCTCCTGGTGCCCCTCCCAATCACTAACTTCTCACTCTTCCCCTAAGATAACACTATCCTGGCTTCTAAAACTATAATTTAGTTTTCTCTCTTTTTCTCTTGATTTTATGAAAATGGAATCCTACGGTATCTTTCCTCTTGTTTGATTTCTTTTGCTCAATATTACCTTTATGATATTCATACATGTCTTTGAGCTTAGATATAATACATTCATTTTCCTTGTTTTATAGATGTCAATGCACGACTATACTAGTTTATTTATCCAGTTGACTATTGATGAACATTTGGATTATTTCCAGTGTGAAGCTACTATAAAAATGGCACTATGAACACTCAAACATATGTCTCTCTCTTGGTAGACATGTGCACATATTTTTGTATGGTATACACTTAGAAGTAGAATTGCTGAATCATAGAGTATGCATATCTTCAAATTTACTAGATAAAGCCAGACTGTTTTTTCAAAGTGGGTGTAACAACTTACTTTTCTATCAGATATGTTGAGCAGATATGAAGAGGGAGGCTAAAGGGATTATGATTAGCCATTATGATATTACTAGAGGCCCAGTGCACAGATTTGTGCATGGGTGGAGTCCCTCAGCCTGGCCTGCAGGGATCAGGCTGAAACCAGCTCTCCGACATCCCCCGAGAGGTCCCGGATTGCTAGAGGGCACAGGCCAGGCCAAGAGACCCTACTAGTGCATGATCAGGGCAGGGAGGGAGGGCTCCAGGGCATTCCAGACCATCTTGCCCAGTCCCGATAGACCGGACCCCAGCAGCAAGCTAACCTGTCAGAGCATCTGCCCCCTAGTGGTCAGTGTGCATCATAGCAACAGTTGAACGAACTGTCAGACACTTAGCATATTAGGCTTTTATTATATAGGATAGTTATAAGAATTTCAGTTGCTATACATTATAATCAAAATTTGGTATTATTAGTCTTTCAAATTTTAGTTATTCTGTGGATTTTTATGGTTTTATTTTGTATTCCCCTCATTATTAAGGAAGTTGAAAAGCTTCCCATATGTTTATTGCCCATATTAATACTATCCTCTTTCTTAAAGTGCTAATAAATCTCTAGCCCATTTTCTTTTGAGTTCCAGACTTTTTTATGGATTAGTAAAGCTCTTAAATATTTTTACCATTTTGGCAGTTATATGTTAGCAAATACCTTCATTCATTCTGTGGCTTGCCTTTGCAATTTCCCAGAGATGCCTTTTGATGAGGACAATTTCTTTCCATTTTTTGTTTTTTAGTGTAGAGCATTTAGTAATCTCTTTCTTTATAGGTAGCACTTTTTATGTTCTGTTTGAGGAATCTTTCTCTACTTCCAGGTAATGAAGATATTCTACCATCTTCTTAAAGGTGTATGGTTTATCTTTCTCATTTATTCTGTTATGTACCTGAAAATGATTTTTGGAGTAGAGTGTGAGATGGGTTAACTTTCATTTTTTCCCGTGTGCATAGCCTATTGACCATTTATCAAAAAGATTGCCCTTGCCCACTGCAGTGCCACCTTCATCATAGACCAAGGGCCATATATGTGTGAATCTATTTTGAGGTTGTCTAATCTGCTCCATTGGTCTATTTGTTTATACTTGCACAAGTCCTGCACTATCTTTACAAATCTGTGATTACTGATTTATCATAAGTTTGAGATCTGGTAAAATGAGTTTTTTTCCCTTGTTCTTGTTCTTCTGCAAGAGTTCTTGGCTATTTTAGGTCTTTTTCAGGTTTTTTTTTACTATTTATTTTATTTTATTTTTTAGTTGAATTTATTGGCGTGGCATTGGTTCACAAAGTCATACAGGTTTCAAGCTCAATAAAACATCATCTGCACACTGCATCGTGCACCCTCTGCCCCAAGCAAAGTCTTATTTCTTCCCCACTTCCCCTGCCCTTTGCCCACCTCCACCTACACCACAATCCCTTTCACTCTGGCTATCACCACGCTGTTGTCTGTGTCTATATATTTCTTTAATTCACTTTGTCAAGTTCTACCTAAGAATCCTGCTGGAATTTTAATTAGTACTGCAGTGACCAATTTGAGGAGACGAAACATATTTATAGAGCTAAGTCATTAAACTAAAAAGATTATATAGACTTTTCTTTATTTCAGTCTTGATTTCTGTAAGTGATGTTTTATAATTTTTTGCATGAGAGTAGTTGTACATTCTTCATAATCTGTTATTTGGCATTTGAGCATTTGATGTTTTGGGATACTATCAGCAATGTTATCTTTAAAAAATTTTTAGTTTCTGTTTATTACTGATATATAGGAATACAATTAATTTTTATATATTAACCTTATATTTGCAACATTGCTAAATCATTTATAAACTGCAGACATTTATCTGTAGATGATTTTGGAATTTTTTTCTGTACACAATTGTGCCACCTATAAAAAAATTATAGTTTTTATTTTTCATTTTCAATTCACATAACTTTCTTTTTCTTGCCCTGTTTTATTGCCTGAGACATCCCACACAATGCTAAATGGAAGTAATAACAATGGTATCCTTGCATGGTCCCAAACTCAAAAGAAAAATGTTCAATATCTTACCATATATCTTACCATTAAATATGATTTTTGCTGAACATTGTTTATAGCTGTCTTTTTATCTGATTAAGAATATTCTCTTCGCCCTGGCTGGTGTTCTCAGTGGTTAGAGTGTCAGCCACAAACTGAAGGGTCTCTGGTTCGATTTCCAAAGGCACATACCTGGGTTGCAACTTTGAGTCCTGGCCCCAATCAGAGCATGTGCGGGAGGCAACCAATCTGTGTCTTTCTTACATCGATGTTTCTCTCTCTCTTTCTCTCTCTCTCTCCCTTTCTCTCTCTCCCTTCCTCACTCCCATGCTCCACTCTCTCTAAAATCAATGGAAAAGATATCTTCTGGTGAGGATTATCAACAACACAAAAGAATTTCTCTTCAAACTATGTAAAAAATTATATAGTAAATCAAACACTTATTTAAGACCAATCTATGTACATTTGCTATTTTAAATATTAGCAGTAATTAAAATGTATAAAAATGTTGCCCATGAGAGAGAAATATTATTCATGTGCTTAAATTTAAAATAGGTAATTGAATAAGAGGTTTAGTCTTATGTTTACAAGTGTGGGAACATGAAAGACATGAAGAACTAGTCACATTGACATTTCAAATTAAAAATCTAAGTTAAGTTGTTAGACAATTGAATACTGTGAAGAGAATGAAGCACTGAAAATTTCTGAATGTAGTTTAAAACCTTTGAAGAGTATAATTTCCCAGAAATTATTAAAATTTGTTTGAATAGAATAAGATTTATAAGCCTGGACTTTCTTTCTTAAGGAGGCATTTGGATTTAACTTGAATACATTGAATATTAATTTTAAAATTAATACAAATTAAAAAATAAGAACAAAAAATATTCTCTCCTAATCCTGATCTGCTAAGACATTTTATCAAAAATTAATTGATGTTGAATTTTATCAACACTCTGCACCTGTTGATATAATCTTATGATTTTGAAAATTTTATCTTTTGTATTTATCTACTGAACTACACCAATTTGCAAAGATTAAACCAACTTTGTATTCCTGGAATAGAAGCAATTTAGTCTGGTCCTTTTTGCCAGATTTTATTTGCTAATACTTTAGGATTTTTTTCTGTTTATGTTTCTGAATGAAATTGGTCTGCATTTTTTTCTTTCTTGCAATGGTTTTGTTATCAAGAGTATGCTAACCTCACAAAATAAGCTAGGGTGTGTTGGTTTCCTAGTGCTACTGTAACAACTACAGACTTGGTGACTTAAAACAACGAAAATTTATTATCTAACAGTTCTGAAGGCCTGAAGTCCACAGGAAGGGGTCAGTGGGCCTGGCTCCTGCTGAGGCCCTGGGGGAGTCTTTCCTTGCTTCTTCCAGCTTCTGGTGGCTCCGGGGGCTCCCTGGCATTTGTTGGCTTGTAGCTGCATCGCTCCAATTTCTGCATCCATCTTCACAGAACTTTCCTCTCTCTGTCTCTCTGTGGCTTCTCCTTTTCTGTCTCTTGTAAGGATACTTATCACTGGATTTAAGACCTACTCTAATCCCACATGACCTCATTTGGAAATTATTACCGTAACTATATCTACAAAGATCCTATTCCAAATAAGGTCACATTTGAGATTCTGGGTGAATCTATTTGGGGGAAGCGGGCCACAATTCAACTCATTACAGGATGTATGTCCTTCTTGTTATTCTTTGGAAATGTTTGGGTACAATTTAAATATTTGGCAGAATTCATGAGTGAAGCCAGGGGTTTCTTTGAGAAGATATTTAAATTATATTTTTATTATTTGCCTATTAAACAAATTTTTATTTCTATCTTTTATTGGTTACCCTAGAAATAAGGAAATGCAACCTTGACTGATCAAAGTCTAAATGTATTTCCTTCCTGGGCAATACTTTAACTTCACCTTTATTTTTTTTTATTTTTTTTTTTTATTGCTTAAAGCATTACAAAGGGTATTACATATATGTCCTTTTATTTTTTTTTAACTCCATCTTTAAGTTCACCTCTTGATTTATGTTCCTTTTTGGTCATTATTTTAATTTCATATATGTTTTAAACATACAAGACTTATCCACATCTTTATAGTTTTTTTTCACATTTACAATGCCTATGTGATATTCTATAAAGATTGTGATAACATGGACAATTATCCACATTTACTAATATTTCCTTTGTTCTTCTTTTTAATGGCTATTTAATACCCTCATAAAGGCTATAATAACATAGAAAACTCTTTACCAAATAAATGTCTGCTGTCTGCTAGGGACTCTTATAGGTCTTATCAGGGCTAGCACCTTGCACAGTTCCAGGGGATAGCATTCATAAAGAATGTGGGTATAATATGCATTATTTTTGCAAATAATGGAGTTTCTTGCAAATAATCCTTCCTGGAGTTGTGCCCTAACTGAAGGCTTCAAGATGCAAAAAGGTACTAAGCTATTACACCATGTTTAAAAGGATCCCCTAAACCTAGATAAAAATCCTGAAGAGAAATCTAACAACCTGCTAACCACATTGTGTTAAAGTGATGAAACTATGTGTGTTTCCACTATACTTTTCTCTTCTTCCTAAACTTTTTAATGAGATGTGAAAAGCTATGTTCTTTGCCTTCTCCCCATGCCTCTAAGTCAGGTCATAGAAGCATCCCCCCAGGCCGTCAGACAGACAGGGGTTGCTTCTGTTTCTTGTGCATCTCATTATTACAAGTAATTCTTCCTTAAATTCAAAATTTCTCCAAAATACAGCATCTACAAATTGTATGGGATCTTGGAAGTCATCTATTTGAACCAGGCAATTACTGTTTGAATTACTTTCTACAACATTACTTTCAAAGTGTTGGCTATCTTCCTTTTACTAAAATATAATCTCAGACCAACCATTAGCAGCATCACTTGGGATCTTACTAGAAATGCAGAATCCCAGGCCCCACCCCAGACCTTCTGAAATAGAACCAGCCTCCTAAGAAAATCCCTAGGTAGCCCTAGCCAGTTTGGCTCAGTGGATAGAGCGTCGGCCTGTGGACTGAAGGGTTCCAGGTTCACTTCCAATCAAAGGCATATGCCTGGGTTGCAGGCTTGATCCCCAGTAGAGGGCATGCAGGAGGTAGCCAATCAATGATTCTCTCTCATCATTGGTGTTTCTATCTCTCTCTCCCTCTCCCTTCCTCTCTGAAATCAATAATAATTAATAAAAAAAAGAAAGAAAATCCCCAGGTAAACCATAGGTACATTGAAGTATGAGAAACCCTGAGCCACCCAAGCATTTTCAATGCAATTGCCTCCCAATGCAATTCATTCCACATTTGAGCACCTTTTATTTTAGAAAAATCTTTATTACATTGCACGAAAGATTTCCCTAAAATTCCAACCGGGGTTTAAACCTGAAGGACTCTACATGACAAACCCGATTTCTCTTCTACATGGCAGCTCATCAAAACACATGAAGAGACAGATCATGTTCTACCTGGAACCTTTTCTCCTTCAGTAACCTTTTCCAGTTCCTTACCTCTCCCTTAAGGTGACGAGATTCTAAGTTCTCTCCCATTAAAAGCCGTGTGCTTCAGTTTCAAGCCTTGCTCTATATCAGGAAAAGCGGAGAGTAGCATTAGTCTACACCAGAGTACCCGACATCCTTGCTGAACGGGTGACTTTTCTGGCACAAAATATGTCATCTCCCTCTTACAGGGTTGTGGTCACCATGTACCCTCCCACTGACTTCATCCTGGTATTGTAGATTGTAAGTCATTCAAAGTGACACCAGCACTGTTTGGTGGGGAATGCAAAGAAATATAGCCAATTTCTCAAGGAATTGGTCGTCTATTTGGAGAAACAAAGTTTAACTATGAGTGTGTTAAATTCAGCATACAGTTAAGTGCCTTAGTGTGTGGAGTAGATTTTAAATAACTGAGGAATTTGGGTAAAGGAAAGGTCATTGTAAGTTGGGCGACCGAAGGAGAAGGGTCTGATGGACAAGTGGTTGGTGGGCCTCCTGGCTTCAGTGCTTCCTGCATTGCACACATCAGGAAAGTACTAAACCGTTCCGGGCTTTGGCTTGTTCATCTGTGAAATGTGAGTGACAACTGTATTTAGCATACAGAGTGGTTGTGAGACAAATGAAAAGACATGTGAAGAACTTGGTAAAATTTAACACACATGTATGTGGTTATTATTAAGTTCCATATTTCATACAGGAAACAGAAGTAAGGAAGAGGCATGTTAGAGTGTGGGGATGGCATGAAGTCTGCGTGTAGTGGATGATATGAGCCAGGCTCCAATACCATGAGACGGCCTTCTCTTCAGGTGTCCCAGAGAGGGCCACACCGATCTTGGCTCTCTGGAAAGAAGGCCTTTCACACATCTGGGAAGCACAAATGATGAGTGAGGCTGGCGCATGGGGTTGTGAGCGCTAAGGTGTCACTGTGCAGTGCAGGCAAAGCCCCAAGATCTGAGTTCCAGGGAATTTGGGGGAGAATTTCCACCTGGGAAGGAGGCTGGACCAAATTATTCTCAGGAGTTTTCTCACTCAAAGCTTTTTGATTCTGTGCTTCTCGGTGGGGAATAACTCAGTGATGACTCCGTGGATGAGAAATTACTTTGCATTCAGCTGACTTCCTGCTTGATTTGCTTCTCTCTAGTCTGTTCAGAAGAAACCTGATCCCCTGCCCGCTCAGGACCCCTGCACCACCATTTATGTGGCTGCCACGGAGCCCGTCCCAGAGCCTGTGCAGGTGAGGCATCTCTGCAGAGAGGGAATCGGAGGAGAGGGAGGGGTGGGCGCCTGCAGAGCTGAAATGAAACAGAGGCCTGCAATGGACAAGCAGGCCCTCGCAAGAAGGTAGCAAGGAGCAGTTGGGGCCTTGGTTGCAGGGCTTCCGGGAACGCCTCGTGGCTGCTCACGTGGGTCACAGCTTCCTCTGCTCCCTAGTGTTTCTCAGAATCCGCTGTATCTTTGTTAAAAAATAAAGATTCCTGGAGTTTTCCACTCAGGATTCGGTTCGATCAGGATGCCTATGGAAAGCAACCAGGCAGCTACACATCTAAAATCAACATCCCTCGGGACCCAGACGCACCTTTAAGTTTGGGGATTGCGCCCTAGCCAGTGTTGCTCAGTGGATAGAGCATTGGCCTGCAGACTGAAGGTTCGATTCTGGCCAAGGGCACATGCCCGGGTTGAGGGCTCGATCCCCAATGGGAGGCATGCAGGAGGCAGCCAATCAATGATTCCCTCTCATCATTGATGTTTCTGTCTCTTGCTACCTCTTCCTTCCTCTCTGAAATCAATAAAAGAATATTTAAAAAAAAAAAGTTTGGGGATTGCAGTTTGAGTCCAGGAGTCCTCAAGTCCAGCTGCGTAACAGAATCATCTGTCAAATGCCTGTGTCTGGGCTCCGTCCCGCCCGATTAAATAGGCACCTGATTCTATTTAATCAGAATATTTAGGGCCTGAGCGCTGCGTCCATATGGAACCCAGAAGAGACTGTGACTCGCAGCCCAAAATGAGCCTCGCCCATTCTACCCCGTCGCAAAATCCGCCTGGGATTCATTTCACTGGACAGCAAGCTCTCCTTTTACTAAATGGACAGAAATCAATTCTGGTCCGAAATCTTGGCTCTGGCTGTGCTGTATTAAATAAAGCACTTTAGGAGACGGTGAGGGTTAAAAGGCCACAGACATGCCTACATGTACCCCTCTTCTTCGAAGCTCTCACTGTACACATGCTCTGACTTCAAAATCTTTACAAAATCATGTAAATTTATCATGAAGTTCTCTGGGGAGAGAAAAACAGTGTATTTCACATTTCCTAGAAAAACCTCCTGATTCTTCCCATTTCTGTCTCTTTCTTTCTCGGACTCTTGAATCTCCTCTCCCTGTACACGGTCTTTGCCCCAAATCCTCACCTCCTCCCCCTCCGTCTCTCCTGCCTGAACCACTAACCCTTTGTAAAGCTCGGGAATTTGGAATTCTCTTAGCTTCTCCAAACTGTGCCCCATGAGAGCAAGACAAATGGTTTCCTTCTCCTTCTAAGTCAGGAGAAGGGAAGAGAGCAAGGAGGGGAGGGCACCGGGTTCTGGCCCTCAGATCCCCAGGACAGGTCTCCCTGTCTCCTGAGGGCAGGTGTCCACTTGGAAGGAGCCATAGTCCATCTTGTGGGCGGGACAGGCAGCTGGGGCTGAGTGCCACCTCCAACAGCGGTGCCTGACCTTGACAGACAGGCCCTGAGCCAGTCTCTGTGCTACAAGATTTCTGAGGCCCCTCCCTTTTCCTAAGCAGGGCTGTTTCTCTTCGTTCCTGTGAAGCTAGAGCCCGTCCCCCCACTCACAGACGCCCTCTGTTTTGCCCCCAGGAGCCGAGCTCCATCACCGTCTACGCCAGTGTGACACTTCCAGAGAGCTGACACCACAGACCCAGCGAAGGGACTGGCGGAAGGAGGACGGAGGAGCCAAAAGAAACACTGAACTTGGCCCCAGGCCTCAAGTTCTTAGGATACTCTACACACCTGCACTCCTCGGATCAGCTCCCTGGGGATGTCGCTTCCACACCCACCCGTGACAGGGACAAGCAGGGGAAGTTTCCCACGCACTTAGCCTGCTCTGCAGGGCACAGGCCCAGGACAGGTTTCCGTCTCTGTGGTGCAGCAGACGAATGACAATGCAAAGCCACGAGTCTAGACCTTCGGGTGTCTTGCTCTTCGCTGGGAGTGGATAAGGAAAGCCAAAGGCAGAAAGCCAGCACACAGAGCTCGTAGCTCAGGCGCTGGCCAGCAGCAGAGCCCGGAACCGTTTCCACCCTGGCTGCCTGTTCTTGGTTCTGGGAGCTGCTCTGGGTCACCAGGCAGGCCTGCTCCAGGCTCTGTGCCTCGGGTTCTCTCTCTGGATGGGCAATGAAGGAGGAGCTCCTTATTCTATGTAAAACACTGCGACAAAAGAAGCTAAAGAGTCAATAAACTGACAACATGGCTTTGAGGTCTCCGAGCTTTGAATAATGGAATGAAAATCATCTAAGATTCTTAAAAAGCATAGTTTTAAGAATGTGCAAATGGTGGGTGCTCAGATTTAAAGAAATGTGGCGAGTATTTGGTGATGCTGTTACAAAGGAATTTGCGGTCATCAGAACTTATTTTAGGGTGATTTTTCACTTCCCCAAATTATTTTTAAATTCTAGTTCTCTGTTTGCTCCGTTGAGCAACAAATCTGGAGCTTCAGCTAAGACTTGTCAACCTTATTCTGAACTCGTTTTACTACATCGGCCGCCTCACATCACCAGGGTCTCTAGCAGGACCTTCCTAACTCCTCGCGCTGAATCTATCCTGAAGTAGAAAATTAACATATTTCAGCCTCACAGTTTCAAGGAATTGAATGCTTAATAAATTGCAGGCTGCAGACAGAGAGCTTCCTTCATAAAGTCCTATTTTCTTCCTATTCTCTTGCTTTCAGACATTCCTTCCTCAATGGAAGCCCTTCCTCTTTCCGACCGGCACTTGTGTGACACTAAGAAAGCACCGGCTGTCTTCCAACCATGTCACGAGGGTCACCAACGTCCCGGCTCTGAACGCGGAGGTCCTTGTCACCTTGTACCTCCTCTGTTCAGTCCATTCGTACTTTAGTTCTGTTGCTCGGTGTAGCTCATTCCCTGGTAGCCATTTTGGTAATAGTGTTCTTAGCTGTGATCGACAGAAACTGGTCTGGATTTTGTCTTAATATATTTTTATTCATTTCAGAGAGGAACGGAGAGGGAGAGAGAGAGAGAAACATCAATGATGAGAGAGAATCACTGATTGGCTGCCTCCCGGGCATGTGCCCTTGACCGGAATCAAACCCGGGACCCTTCAGTCCGCAGGCCAACTCTCTACCCACTGAGCCAAACCGGGTAGGGCTGGGTTTTATTTTATTTTTTTAATGTAGAAAAGGATTCTACTGAAAAGATTTTGCAGGGGCTTCTGTAAAACCATCCTTTGAAAATGAGCAGGAAGTGGGAAGACATAGGCTGTGGCCAGGACCACAGCCCAAATCACAAACCCAGCTCAGGGATGGCAGTGCTGAGCACCTGTTGCTCCGCTGTTGTGGGCTCCACCACCCCCGCCCTACCTCCTACCTCCGCTGGATTGGAAACTCCTTCTGCTGTTGGCACTGGCTGAACCACAGTGACTGCTCCAGGGTCCTTATTCATCTCTCCACCTCTATTTTCTAATCCAGCGTCTGAGCCTGAGTGGCCAATCACAGGCCACTCACCCATGTTCTACTCCCAGGGAGGCTGGGAATTAAATACCTGCCATTTTCCACTTGCATAGGTGGGATCTTCCTCGTATGAGTCAGCAAATCCCCCAAACATAAGCAGTGGAATTCATTGCTGGGCGAGCAAAGAAAGAGGAAAAAATGTCCACATCACCGTTGTCTAACCTCGGGCTGTCTGAGTAATCCCTCCTTTACAACTCGAGTCGTCCCAGCAGCTCCGTTTTCAGCACTTGGGTTTTTCCTGTGGCTAAATTCTACCTGCTGGAAGGGCCGGAGCAAAGGGGGAAAGGAGAGGCGAATCCCTCAGAGTTTCCTGCCTCAGATCAACACCTCACTGGGGAGGGGGGCCGTGTCTTGGAGTCTGTGCCATCCTTCCAATGACCAGGAAAGCAGACAGCCCCTCCGTGTTCCCCAAAGGCGAGCTGGAGCGTTCCTTTTCCTTGGGCTTAAAAAATAAAAGTAAAACTGATACTTCAGAGTCTGATTTCCCCGTGTTTCTTCTCTAATGTTGTTTTCTGAATGAGCACATCTGAATTCTGGAGAACTCAGGAGGAAAGGACTCATTTTTCGTCTGAAGGGACTGCTGTTCGGCAGTACAACTTTGGACGATCTCAAGCCTCTTGAATGACACGTTCTCTAGTTAAAGAACCCGGATGTGATTGGTAAAGGGTGCACTCGCGGACTGAGAAACCACCCATTACAGTAAGTGACTTCTCTTCCTGCAGTTCTTGTTTCTACCTCCAGGAAACGAAGAAAATACAGACAGTTCATCCAGGAAATTGTACTTGTGTCTTGTGATGCCGACAGGATTCATGACACAGTAGCATGGCCAGACGTTCCGCATGGCCAGACGTGCCGCATGGCCCTGTGTCTCTGTCGCTGTAGTTATGTAATACTGAAGGTGGCTGCTTTGACTGGATGAGCGGTGAGATGGTCCCTTCCCTAGGGGATGTGCCCTCCTCACCAAAGTCAGGAGCCCCCTTCCACATGAGAAGAGAACTGTGTTGAAAGGATTGTTTAACTTCTGTCACTGCTGGAGGAATTGCCTTTCCCAGACTTCTCCAATTCCCCCTGTGGAGCAATGCAGAGCAGGGTTTCTCAACTGCAGCAGGGTGGACATTTTGGTCCAGATAATTGTTTTCATGGCTGCCCCATGCTTCGCATGATGTCTAGCAGATGCCAGTAGCACATCCCCTGTCCCTGATCAAGACAATCAAAAATGTCTCCAGCCCTAACCGGTTTGACTCAGAGGATAGAGCGTCGGCCTGCGGACTCAAGGGTCTCAGGTTCGATTCCAGTCAAGGGCATGGACCTTGGTTGCGGGCACATCCCTAGTAGGGGGTGTGCAGGAGGCAGCTGATCAATGTTTCTCTCTCATCAACATTTCTAACTCTCTATCCTTCTTCCTTCCTCTCTGTAAAAAAATCAATAAAATATATATTTTTTTTAAAAATGTCTCCAGCCATTGCCAAATGTTTCCTGGTGGGGAAAATCTTCCCACTGACTGAGAATCTCGAATCTAAAACCATACTGACTATCTAGTGATCTTTGTGTAGACTAACTATACTTCTATATACCAACAAGTAGAGCTCTCAAACATCACATTTTTTAAAAATACATTTTTTTATTGATTTCAGAGAGGAAGAATGGAAGAGAGAGATAGAAACATCAATGATGAGAGAGACTCACTGATGGGCTGCCTCCTGCACGCCCCACACTGGGGGATCAATCCCACAACCCGGTCATGTGCTCTGACCGGGAATCTTGTTTTATAGGTCAACGCTCAACCACTGAGCCACACCCACCGGGCCAAAAATAACATTTTTTAAATCCACACCCGAGGATATGTTTAGAGAGAGGAAGGGGAAAGGGAGAGAGAAAGAGACATAGATATGAGAGAGACGGTGTTCCAACCAACTGAGCCACCTGGCCAGGGCCAAAAATCAGATTTTGAAAGCGGCCGCCTGGTCACATAAGCATGGCTTACACCTGCCAATATTCCCAAGGTTATCTAAATATTAGAGTTGACAGATAACTTTTTAAAAATATTGATGCCCAAACCCTACCTCAAACCCAAATGAAATCTTGGTTGAGTATATAGAACCACCAACTTAGAGGCCCACCCCTTTCTCTAACTCCCTGGTTAAGCATCCCACAAGCCTCCCCTCAAATTCTCTCCCACAGCAGTTATGCATGTTCCATTGTGAAAAAGTTCCAAGGGGAACGTTATCGCACATTCTTCACAGAAAGGATTTTGTGAAGAATTCCATACAGCAACCACAAGAGGGAGCTGTGGCAATGCTGCAGTCCACCCCCCACAGGCATCCACAACACCACTTCCCTTGCATCTAAAAGATGAGAACTTAGTCACAGACTTGCTGAAACTGCCTGGATTCTCGTTAGTCCACAACACATACAAGCTGGAGGGAGAGTTGAACCCTCCCCTTAGACATAAGGAAACCCAGGGTGGGTTGATGACAGATTCTAATCAAAGTTAACTGCAGTAAGTTTATTTCACAGAAGATGCCTGGTTCTACTCAATGTTTCACTCATTCAACAAATAGTTATGTTCCTACTAAGTGTCAGAGTGTGCCATCCAGTGGGAGAAACAAGGAATACAAGCAATTGAAATGTTATACAATAGGTAGACAACCACGTGATCTACTGGGACTTGAATAACATTCCTGCTGGGTCCCGACACCCCATCCCTCACTCATGAGGAAGAGTGCATGAGCCGTTTTGTGAATTTGGGAAGATGAGCTGAACAAGCCCAACTCAGTCCCTTCTGAGCTCTCTCTTTCTTGGGACCAGTCTGTCTGTAAGATGCACATGTTCTTGTCTACTCACTCCTGCTCACAAGAGTGGGATGTCCTCTTACTGGGCACATGTCCTGGGATTGCCAGCTCGTTGTGGCCTCCTCCTTTTCCCCTTTCTCCTCTTTCCCTCCCCCTCTCTTCATCATCATTATAACAACACTAGTAGCCAACATTTATTGGCCGCTTGCTAAGTGCCAGCTATGGTCCTGAGTGCTAATCATGCATCAGCTCACCTAATGCCACATTTGCCAGTCAGTTTCAACAATAATAGAGCTAACCCCACTTTTCCACCTTTATGACTTCTGTCTCTGTCAAAACTGTTTCCAAACTCAGAAGAAGAGCGGGTA